GGCCTCCAGGTAACCGGGACAGCTGTGGGAGATGTCAGCCAGGGTGTGGTGGCTGCGGGATGGGCGTCTCCTCTCCATTGGATCCCTTTCAGTATGACCAGTGTCCCTGTAGGCATCTGCCCACTCTGGCTCTATCCAAGCCCAGGGGAACTGGGACAGCACTGTGAGGGACTCGCCTGGGGGCTTCCCACACTGGACAGAGGGTAGGCCCATCTTGTGACCTGTTGCTCACAGAGCAGAGCTCCAGCAGGCCCGGCCCCTGGAAGGCTCCTTCAGCCCCATCTCCTTCAAGCCGGGCCTCCACCAGGCCGACATCAAACTGACTGTGTGGAAAAGGCTCTTCCGGAAAGTTCTACCAGGTGAGGCCCTCGCCTGTCCTCCCTTGGGACTTCCACCAGGGCTGGCAGCAGTGCACTGACTGCAGCTGAGAGCACCTGTGCTCCAGAGAGCTGAGGGACGGTCTGGTGGGGCACTGGTGAGCGGGAGCCCAGCTGGCCCGGACTCCGGGTTCAGGGCCCTCATCTGTGAAGAAGGGCTGCTGACCCCACTTGGCTGGGCTGCGGAACGGACGTGGAGGGTGGGGGTGTTAAGGAGTGGTGGCTGTTTCTGACAAACAGCTTAGAGTCACTTAATGAATCCTTTTATAAGAGCAGGCTCTTGTGTAGGGACGCTCAGTCAGACTGATTTTATCCTTTCAAAGGCAAAGACAGGGCTTATGTAAAGGAGAGCAATCTTGCCTTGGACAGCAGGTGTGGTTGCACACTTGGGGGAAAGCTGATTAGCAGGTCATTAGCAAAAAGATGGGCTGGTGGGGGCTCCTCCTGGGGCCCACTGAGGAGGCGGCCACCGCCTCCTGGTGCTTGCTCCAAGCCTTCCAGGCCCTTCCCACAGCTCCTCTCCCTCACCAGACTCCCTGGCTCCCAGAGGCCACCTGGGATAGGCGAGACAGGCGGGCGCATCAGCCCCCTCTGGGCCGGGATCACTGCACAGCCTGGGGCGGGCTCAGCTGCTGTCTGGGGAGCTCAGCACCTGCCTGGCCTTCCCGTGTGGCTCAACCTCAGGCCTTCTCTGGTCTCCCTCCAGCCCCGGAGTCGCTCAAGCTGGACCCTGCCACCGCCCACCCGCTCCTGGAGCTCTCCAAGGGTAACACCGTGGTGCAGTGTGGGCTCCTGGCCCAGCGGCGCGCCAGCCAGCCTGAGCGCTTCGACTACAGCACCTGCGTCCTGGCCAGCCGGGGCTTCTCCTGTGGCCGCCACTATTGGGAGGTGGTGGTGGGCAGCAAGAGCGACTGGCGTCTGGGGGTCATCAAGGGCACAGCCAGCCGCAAGGGCAAGCTGATCAAGTCCCCCGAGCACGGTGTGTGGCTGATAGGCCTGAAGGAGGGCCGGCTGTACGAGGCCTTCGGCTGCCCGCGCGTGCCCCTGCCCGTGGCTGGCCAGCCCCACCGCGTCGGGGTCTACCTGCACTACGAGCAGGGGGAGCTCACCTTCTTCGACGCCGACCGCCCGGAGGACCTGCGGCCGCTCTACACCTTCCAGGCCGACTTCCAGGGCAAGCTCTACCCCATCCTGGACCTGCGCTGGCACGAGCGGGGCAGCAACTCCCTCCCCTTGGTGCTGCCCCCACCCAGCGGGCCTGGCCACCTCGCTCCGCAGCGGCCCCCCAAGACGCAGGGCCGCCCTGCTGCTCCCTGCCCACAGGCCCATCTCGCTGGGCCCTGAGACTGGGTTCACGCGGTGACCCCCTCGCTTCCTGGAAGATCTTCACGCCTGCATGAAGGTAGAGGGGTCGTGGCCCCTTCCCTGTCATCCAGGGTTATCAAGGCCAGCCTGGGAGTCCATGAGTCCCACTGAGCAGCTGTCCCTCCGGTACTCCTCCAGCAGAGGGCGAAAGCGCTTCATCATCTGCGGGAACTTAAAGCATCTATTAATGATAATAAATTCTTCTCACTCTCTTTAAATGGGCTGTATTGGTCGTGCGTATTGCCAAGTGCGCAAGTCTTTTTCTTTTTTGTGTTTTGTGGGTGCTGTACATTTAACCCAGGGTGATTTACCACTGAGCTACATTCTCAGCCCTTTTTATATTTTTAAGAGAGGGTCTCCCTAAGTTGAAGATGTCCTCAGAACTTTCATTCCTCCTGTCTCAGCCTCTCTAGTTGCTGGAATCATGCCTAGCCACGTGCTTTTTTTTTTTTTTAAAGCAATTCACCTGCAGCCCTGCCTGGTTTGAGTCCACAGGATGTTCCATTCCTCAGCAAACAGCCTTTTATCTGCAGGAGAAATGCAGGCCCAAAATGCCAAAAAAAAGGAACTTAAGTGACCCCAAAGTGGGGAGACTTTTGTGACACACAGACCAGATCCCAGAACTCGGGGAGATAAGGGTAATCTCCCCTTACCATAGTCTGTGAACAGATTCCAATTAGAACTGGTCAGCATGGGCCCAAGAGACCTAGTTATCCAGGCACAGTGGGCATTTGAACAAGACACGCCCCCTGATGTCTTTGGGCTGTCAGAAGTCGACAGGTGGGCCTGGTCATGACTCTGGAAACTTCCTGAGACCCCTGATAAACGAGGGCAGGTGGGGTGTACCACCTTTCTCCAGAGAGGACCTACTCTTCTTGAGAATGTCCCCCTTTCCCATCCACTCTAACAAACTTGTGCCTGTTACTCAAAGCTACGTGTCTGAAATCCTTCTGGTAGGATCGAAAGAACTGGGATGAAGAGTGACCTCTGCGGCTGCCTTGGCTGCGTGGCCGACCTCTGCTCCATAACAACCTGAACCTGGAGGGTCCACATCCTAGCTCTGGGGTCACGGTGGGTCCCACTGGAGAGAATATCAGGTTCTCTGAGACACAGCTACCTGGGGCTGCCAGGGCCTTCTCGGCTATTATGTGGAAAATGCCCATTGAAAATGAAGCCATTGAGTACACATAGAGGAAAATAGGACAATTAACACAGACGTGTAAGCAAACACATTTGATCAGATTTTAATTTGAAAGCTTATTGGTAACATTTGTGTCCCTAGATCTAGCCATGCGTGAAATAAATTATCCTCATCTCCGGGAATTCCTATTTGTATGAGCAAATAATCATCCTCCCCTTTTTGTTTGCTTTAATTGGCTACAGTTCTGTCCCTTGCAGCCAAAGCAGTCTTGACCAAAGGGGAGGTCCCATCGATACTGAGCAAGAGACCCTAGGCCTCATCCTTTGGGACGACAGGGAGCTTTCTCTTCCACATGCAGCAGTAGGCAAGCATCTGCAGAAGCTGCCAATGAGCTTTGGCTCCTTTCGACTTCCATGCCCTCCGCTGCCCACTCTTCTGCAGTAGGGGATTTGCAATTAGTTGTTCGATATCGGATCCGTTTGTGCTCTTTCACATTGTTATCATGTGCTTCCCCCCAGTCCTAGGGATTGACCCAGGGGTGCTGTACCACTGAGCTGCATCCCAAACTCCGTTTTAGACGGTTTCACTAAGTGGCTGAGGCTTTCCTCAAACTTGTGATCCTCCGTGTTAGGTCCTTAGGCCAAAGTAACTCCATTTGAAAATCAGCACCTGCCCACCCAGGCATGACCTTCCCAGTAGGTCCACCCCTAAAGAGTCCCTAACTCCTGGGTGATAAATCCAGCCTAAGATTGGGAGCCAACTCCACACAAAGGCATGAAAAGTTAATTTTGGCTTTAATATAAATTACTGCGATTTCTAAACTTGCTTGGAATGCCTGCCCTACCTTGAACTCACCCATGCCTGGCTTTCCCTGACCAGATAACAGCCCTCTCTGAAACTCTAGTGATGCCTCATAAATTCTGATGTTGGGATCTAAATTTACTCCCTAAGTGCTGGACCATTAACCTACAACCTGCCTTTGTGTTATGCTTGTCAAAATCCTGTTATCTGTAAGTTCTCAAGACATCCTCCCCACTTTTTGCAACTTTCTGTGCTATAAAGCTGTGCTCCTAAAGAGCTGGGGTGCTGTCTTCTATCCCGCTGTTTTCAGGAGAGAGGGTCGGAATTACAAGCTTGCTTTAATTTATTTCAATTGGTTGGTGGTCTTTTCTTTGCAGCGTGGTTTAACACTGGGACCACAACAAAGACGCCAAGTGACAATCACAGGACCTGGGGGGTTATTTTTTAACTACTGCATCATAGGTGACTGTGTAGTTAATTTTTTTCCCCCCAGCAGGCTGCTGCGCCTGGCAGAAAGGCAGCCTAGGGATATTGCCCGTCAATCCACCTTTGCTTGAACTCGGAACCGTGTCTGGAGGGAGTTCTGCGAGCGCTGCCTAGCACTCCGCGGCCTGAGCCCCAGGCACCGGGAGCCCAGGTGCACACCCCACACCCCGTGGGTAGGTAGGTCTTGACTGCAGCAAGGCCCTGGTCTAGAAGGCGGGGAGGCTGGGAAACAATCACCCCCGGGAGAAAAGGAGAGCAACGGCCCCAGGGAACTACCCCTATCTTCAACTGTGCCCTATTGCTCTACACGAGCCCGCCACAGCAACACCAGGCCCTGCTAACCCCACAAAACCCGGAGTCTTGATGTCGCAGTCGCTCCATTTTGCTTTAAAAACCTACTCCTCCGTTTCTTGGGACCCTTTGGGGTCGGCCTGCATTTCTGTTCCCTGTCGCATCCTCTCGGCTGGGTCGGTGTGGAGACAGAGATGCCCTGGGGTGAGCGGGGGCGGCCCGACAGCAAACCGCGAGCGGTGACCAAGACAGCGGCCTGGGCACGGCCTGGCACAGTAGGACCAGGCACGGGGGTGACGGGGCGGTGCCTTGGGAAGACCTCTGTAGTGAGCGGGGAGCTCCGGCGGGCTAACGCCCCCGAGGACATCGGGCCGCAAGTCCCCTCCCTTCCCTTTCGTTTTTCTTCCCCTCCCTCTGTGCCGGGGAGGTGCGCGCGCGACCGCGGGGCTAAGGCAGCGCGTGCTCTTTGACCCCGGAAGTGCTGGCGGCGGGCTCTAAGCCGGCCGCGCGTTGCGACAGAGCCGTAAAGGCACGCGGGGGCGGCAGCATGGCGCTGTACGCTGCCGCCGCGGCCGTGCTGGCGGGCGTGGAGAACCGCCAGGGCTCCATTAAAGCGCTGGTGTACGGGAGCAGCTTCCAGGTAGCGACGCTGGGCGCGGGCGAGGTGGGCGCCCCGTCCGGGGCCGGGGCGGGGGCCGGGACCGGGCGGCTGGGCGCGGCGCGGCACCCCTTTGCCAGCCCAGCGCGCCCCGCCGCCCGCAGAACGTGAAGCCGCTGTACGCGCTGGTGTGCGAGACGCAGCGCTACGCCGCCGTGCTGGACGCTGTCATCGCCCGCGCCGGCCTCCTCCGCGCCGAGAAGAAGCTGCGGCCGCACCTGGCCCGGGTGAGCGGGGGAGGGTGCCGTCCCTGGGAGCCGAGGACGCAGGGCGCCGGGGTCGTTCGCACGGGGGGCAGGGCAGCCGCGACCCCTGAGCCGCGCCTCCCGGGGCCCGGAAGGCAGGGCGCCGGTTCCAGCCCTCTGTCTGCCCCCCAGGGTCTTGTGTAGTGAGGGACGAGGGAGCCGCCGTGACCTAAAGCGGGCTGGACGGCGGCCTCCTTTTAGCCTCCAGTCGTGTGAATTTCTGAGGCGAGTCGGGCTCAATGCTGGGTCTTGGTCTTCCCTGCCCAGGTGCTAGTGTATGAGTTGTTGCTGGGAAAGGGCTTTCGAGGGGCCGGGGGCCGCTGGAAGCCCCTGCTGAGCCGGCACCAGGCGAGGCTGAAGGCCGAGCTGGCGAGGCTCAAGGTTCGCCAGGGCGTGAGCCGGAACGAGGACTTGTTGGAGGTGGGGTCGAGGCCCGGCCCAGGTGAGCTGGCGGCAAGGGGGCGCGGAGGGCAGTACTGGCAGGCCGCCGAGGAGAGGCCTGTGTCCCTGCTCGCTCACCGCTGTTGCTCTCTAGTCTCCCAGGTGCCTCGATTTGTGCGAGTGAACACTCTCAAGACCTGCTGTGGCGACGCCATTGATTATTTCAAGAGACAGGGTTTCTCCTACCAGGGCCAGGCTTCCAGGTGGGAGCTCAGCGTCCTGTCTGGCTGCCCTCATCCAGGAGCAGTGTCTGGGGCCACAGAGAATCAGGAGTCTGGGAAGAGAGGTGCTGGGTGGCAGTGACTACTCTTCTTGGGTTTTCCTATTTCTAGTAGTTTCTCCTGTCTCTTTTCAAGGGCTGATGGCCAGCCCCACCCCACTGATGCTCCCAGGACTTTTGTTCTACCTTTTTTTCACACGCTGGGGATGGAACCCAGACCTCAGACATGCTAGGCGGGTACTCTTCCACTGAGCTGTGTCCCCAGCACTTAATAGCATTTAAAATATTGGCTGTGATAAACAGTGCAAGTGGAGCCTGGCACGGAGGAATTCAGGAGATGAGTTAATGATCCACATTCCCCGCAGCCTGGAGGACTTGAGGGCCCTTAAGGGGAAGCACTTTCTTCTGGACCCCTTGTTGCCGGAGCTGCTTGTGTTTCCTGCCCAAACAGATCTGCATGAACACCCTCTGTACCTTGCAGGTCACCTCATCTTGCAGGACAAGGTAGGGAGAGGGTGAGGGAAGGATGTGGGAGGCCAGCCCCAGCTCCATATTCACCCAGCTGTTGTGCTCCGCTGTCAGGCCAGCTGCCTCCCAGCCACCCTGCTGGCACCGCCACCAGGTTCTCACGTCATTGACGCATGTGCTGCCCCAGGCAATAAGACCAGTCACTTGGCAGCTCTTCTCAAGAACCAGGGGTGAGTGCCAAGGTCAGATGGGGTCTGGTCTGATCCTGCGCTTTGTAGGAATAAAGAAATCTTTATTCAAATGGCTGGGCTGGTGTTGTGGCTCAGTGGTGGTGTGCTTGCCTAGCAAGCATGAGGCCCTGGGTTCGATCCTCAACACCACATAAGAACAAACAAAGGTATTATGTCCACCTACAACTAAAAAATAAATATTAAAAAAAAAACAAAACTATATTGAAGGCTGAGAGGACAGACTTGAGGCGGTTCAGTTTCCCCAGGCAAAGCTTTCCAGGGGTTGCAGGTGTGAGATAAGGTTCCTAAGCCTGTTATCTCAGAGACCCCCTAAGACACTTAGGTATTCTTTTTTCTGTGTCCTGACTTGACGTGCGTGGTGCTGTTGGGTGTGTCAGAGCTCTGGCTCTCCCTCAGATGCTCCGTGAATTCCCAGATCACCCCCTTCTGCCCTCTTCCCTAGAAAGATCTTTGCCTTTGACCTGGATGCCAAGCGGCTGGCATCAATGGCCACTCTGCTGGCCCGGGCTGGTGTGTCGTGCTGTGAGTTAGCTGAGATCGACTTCCTGACCGTTTCGCCCACGGACCAGCGTTATGATCACGTCCAGTACATCCTGCTGGATCCTTCTTGTAGTGGCTCTGGTGAGATGGGGAGAGAGTGGCTGTGGGATACCCCACCCCAGAGCTAAAGCACACCAGTTTGTTTGGGTCTTGGTTCTGACTCAATAATGACCTTAGGTCTGCAGGCAAAATGTTCTCATTTATCAAGTAGGATCTCAGCACAGGATGCAGCAGCCTGGGAAACTGATCAAAACGGTCTCCTCCCCAGGGATGCTGAGCAGGCCACTGGAGGAGCAGGGGTCAGGCACACCTAGCCAGGAGCGTTTGCGTGCCCTGGCGGGCTTCCAGCAGCGGGCACTGTGCCATGCGCTCTCATTCCCCTTCCTGCGACGCTTGGTCTACTCAACATGCTCCCTTTGCCAGGAAGAGAATGAAGATGTGGTCCGAGACGCCCTGCAGCAGAACCCAGGGTTCAGGTGACGGCCTCCCCAGGGCATGGAAGGGTTGCCAAGTGGCCCCTGGAGCCTGATCCCTCCTCTCTTTCCTTGCAGGCTAGCTCCTGTCCTGCCCTCCTGGCCCCACCGGGGTCTCAGCACCTTCCCAGGTGCTGAGCACTGCCTCCGTGCCTCCCCTGAGACCACGCTTACTGGTGGCTTCTTCGTTGCTGTGTTTGAACGGGCAGAGGTGCCAAGGTGAGGGAGCCAGGGGTGGCCTGCTTGGGATGTATGGGGTGACTCGGGCACACCTACCTGACCGTCCTAACCTTCCAGCTCAGCCTCCCAGGCAGAAGCTCTGGCACCAGAACTTGCACCCGGCCCAGCCCCAAAGAGAAAGAGGAGACGGCGAAAGGCCACTGCGCAGGCTGCAGGTGCAGTCGTTGAGGCCACCTGTGGGAAGTGAGGCTGCCCAGGCTGCCTGTAGGCTCCACAGGACTGCTGTTAGTGCCAGAGGCAGCTGGCAGGAAGGACAGAGTGGAGGGTCCTAGTTAGTCCCTTGGGTCCCTCCCTGGGGGCTGCCTACATAAATAAAAGGCAGAACACAGGCGTCTGATAGGTCACAGTTTTTTATTCGTAATGACATAAGCAAGGAGAAAAATCTCACATTCATACTAAAAAGTCCAACTAGACAACAGGAATTACACCTTTATTTGTAATGGAAAGTCCAGCCTCCTGTTCTGTCCAGTGCAGAACATGTACACGTACGCACTCACACCCAGGCTGGAGCAGGCCCCCTCTTCAAGGGGTTCCTGGCCTGCTGTGGAGCTCCGGTGAACTAGCTCAGACTAAAACTAAGAGGCTCCGCTCCATCCCTAGACCTGTGCCCCACCCCCACCCCTCCAGTCCTAACAGGTATTTGGGACTTGAGGTCCTGGCTCCTTCCTCAGCCCCCACACAGCTAGGGCAGCAAGTGCCCAGCTCTCCTTGGGGTGGAGGCAGTCCCCTGCCACAAGACATTCAGCCTCAGTCACAAAGGGGGAGGGGACTAACTACAGCTACATCACATTATTTATAAAATAAGAATTACACTTATATAACATGTCCAGAAGGAGCTCCAGCCCCTCAGGAAAGCTGCCTGGGACAGCATTTGAGCCCCTCCTTCACACAGGCATAACCTAACTATGCAGCTAATTCTAATCAACAGCATTTATACTTAACCACCTCAATGAACCAAGCTTGAAGGAATTTAAAAGGCAATTTAGCTTAAATACAAAAATAAATTTTTTATTTTGTTAAAAAATGTTTAAATATTTTCTTTTAATTTAGACACACGCATTCATACTTCTTCCAAAGAGGATGGGCGTGGCAGCAAGGCTCTAGGGCCTGGGGAGTGTGGTTTGGGAGCCAGGGGAGAAGGGGAGGGAAGGGTTGGCAGGGGTCCTATTTAGGAAAGAACTAGGGTCTGACTTCAAGGAAGGTTCATTGGTGTACACTGGACATACTGGGAGTTGCCTTGCCTAGTGAGGTCAGGAGGTGGGAGAGGAATGTTGGAAGGAGAGGGTCTTTGCTTCCCTAAGGCCCCATCCCTTGGGCTGCCAGCCCTTAAAGTCTAACCACCACTGGAAAACCCAGGAGCCAGCACTGTGGCTCTCAAGTGGTGCCACTTTGATTGGCCAGGCCAGGAGGCTTGAGACAGTTAGGTCCGGCACTACCAACATGCCGCCACACATACAATTCAATTCTTCCTCCAAACTCGATTCAAAGAGCAACAGACATGGGCTTCAGACAGTGACACAGGACAAGGCATGGGGTGGACAATCCCGGAGGCAGAGGGTGGCCAGTGAGGCCAGCAGGGGGAGGAGGCAGCAGAAAGCAGCTGTGGGCATCCTGCCTGCTCCGAGAGCTTCTCCTGCAGCAAGGGTCTTGCGCTGGCTCTGCCAGACTAACAGTCTTGAGCCACCAAGCTTTTAGGGGCCAAACTGGCAGAGGGCAGGAGACGAGACTGGACTCAGACCTGGCAGGGAGAAAGGGGGCAGTGGGAGAAACACCCACTGGGGTCTCCAAGGCAAAGCTAGATTCAAGGTCATTTAAAAAGGAATCCTGCAGGGAACCAGTGAGGGACAAAGCAGCAAGTAATGGGGAAATAAGAGTCCCCAAAAGGGACCAGAGGAAGAGAACCACTTCTTACAGCCTAGCCAAGCAGGTAAAGCTTAGGGATAATCCATTTTCCCCAATCCCATGAAACGCTACAGATTCAAGTGGGTGCATCGCACACCCTCTGGCAAGGATGGTCCTGGGGGTGGGGGAGGTGGGAAGGGAAGCCATCTGACTTAAGTGACACAATAGACAAGCCGGGGAAGAGAGCGGACAGTATGTACAGATGTTTCTTTAGTTCTCCAGCCTCACCAGTGCAACTGTTCAAGTACAGGTTTCGGGCTTTAGCCCTGCCCTCGCCTGCCCCCTCCCTGAGGTGCCAACTCTCTCCAGAAGGGAAAGGGCCCCAGGGCTGCCACCACCTCCCTTGGTGGCTGAAACCAGAGATCTAGGATAGTTCTGTTTTACGGAACTCGAAGGGTCAGAGGCTCTTCCTAGCAGGTGCTGAGGTCCAGATTTGGGCAAGGGCTGGGAATGGGGACAGGACAGAGGCTACTTCTTGCGGTTGTGCTGCCGTCGGGCCTGCAGTCGCTGTCGAGCCCCTGGGGTCTTGGATCCGGCACCAATGGAAAACGAAGGGGCTGCTGATCCTGGAAAGATTCGACAAGACCTCATCAGGTAGCTGCTCCCAGAGCACATGGTTTTGAGGCATCAGCTCTAAGTCAACAAGATGGTGGGGACTTGAACAGGGTCCTCAGATGCCACAGCAGCCCCATGAAGAGGCTATTAAAATGCAAAACCTCCAAAAGTCCCATAAGGGAGGCCCACAAATCCATTTTTACTTGACTTCCCCAAGTGTCCTGGGACTGTCTTCTCAACTCTGCTATCCAAGTCCACGCTGGGTGGTGCTGGACCCCCAGGAGCTGTCTCCACAGGGGCTTGGAGAGCCAGGAACCTTGCCATACACCCCAATTCCTCCTCACAGAGAAGAAAAGCAGATGACACTGGCAGTGGAGAGATGGCTACTTACCGAAAGGCCCAACTCCAACAAAGCCCTGGGTGGGTGTTGAGGAAGCCCCAAAGGAGAGGCTGCTGCCCACTGTGCCCACTCCAGCAGTCGGGGTGCTCTGCCCAAAGGTGGGTGTGGAGGTGCCTAGAACAGACAGCAGAGGACTGTAGAGACTGAGCCAGGGTCAGAGGAAAGAAAACAGACGGCAGAGAAACTAGGCAGAGGGTCTGCTCTTTGCAGGGGTGCTTCCCACAGGACCTGCCAGCCCTGGTTCACACCACCATAGCTAACTGCAGCGGTCACACCTGGAGCTCAGGTGAGCCAGCAGGCCCTCAGTGCCCCACTTTCTGTGCACACAGCCCAGGCATGCCATGCCTCTTCTGTTCTGCCAACCTGCCCTCTGACAGCCTGACTCACCTCACTCCAGCGCACCACCCTGTTGGACCATCTGATCTTCCCAGGTGCTCTGGAACTCCCTCTGCAGGGCCCTGATCGGCCCAGCGTGGCTGCCCTGCCCACTCTTCCTCCCCCTGCCAGAGAAAGCTGCCTCTCTGGTCAGGCTGGAGGGGGGCAGGACCTTCCCTGCTCTCCAGAAGCTGTGTCCAGACCACTTCTCTTCCATGCTCCTTCAATATCATCAGTCTTGCTCCTGAACATCTATCAACTGCCAGATGTCCTCTTTTATTCAGTGGGCCCTTGGCTCACTGTTGCCCTCTCCATCACAATCCGTGGTGACTTTGCCAGCTGTCAGGATGATTCAGGATTCCTCAGCAACCCAATGACCTCCGCCACCCACCCCTACATTCACTTGTCAACTGCTCCAGCTCCAACAAGTCACTGCAGGCCTCACCTACTTCTTCCAGCTCACGGTCCCCACAACAACCTTCCACCTTCTCCTGCCAGAGACCTGAAGTCCACTGCCCTCCTGCTGCATTCCCCCATAGGCTGGAGATCAGCAGTACCTGCCTGTTTTAACCTCAACAGCCGAGAGCTGCTGGAAAAGATACAGTGCTGACTTGAAGTTCAGGCTTCTCTTCTGCAGTACTGGCCTGAACCCATGCCTCATGCATGCTGGGCAGTGCTCTCCCACTAAGCCACATCCAGCCCTTTTTGTATTCGCCCAGGCCGGACTCCAATCTCTGACCCTCCTCCTGCCTAGTCACTAGGATTACAGTTGACCACCATGCCTGTTATTTCTCTATTTAGTCAAGGAAACAGAAGCTCTGAGGACAAAAATTCACCTTCCAGATGGCAAATAAGACCACTTCATTCTGCTGCAAATTCTACAATTCCCTTGATACTTAAAATCCAATCACTGGAGCCCGAGGCTCACCTCTGCCTGTCTCAGAACCTCTCTCACACCATCTTCCATCTGTAGCCAAGCTCGCCTCCCTCTGCCCCTGGGCCCTAGCACCAGCCAGGCTCACGAGCTCCCCACCCACATGCCAGTCCTTCTGACACAGACGTCCCTCAGCAGAAATGGACTGCTCAGAAAGGCTTTCCATGACCCCTGAAAGGCACTAGCGAACACTTAGTGCCACCTGCAATTCACTCGTCTTTACCAACAAGTTCCTTTACCCAGCATCAGGCCTAGCAGACCACACCCACTCCTGATCTTACCTCCAAACACAGGTTTGCTCTCAGGTGTGCCAGCCACATTGAAGGCAAAGGGTGTGCTCTGGTTGGGTGCACCCAGGGCATTCTGACTTAAGCCCCCACCAAAGGGGGTGGCGGTTCCTGTGGTCCCACTCTGTCCAGCTCCAAAACTGAAGGCCCCAGAGGTGGAGCTGGGGCCTGGGGCAGCCACACTGAGCCCGAAGCCCCCACTGGCAGCTGGGGCTGCAGATCCCCCAAATGTGAAAGGGGACGGAGTTGAGCTGCCAAACACTGAGCCACTGGTCCCACTGGGGGTGGTCTGGGTGGTAGCTCCAAAGCCAGAGGTGGTGGCTGCACCGAAGGAGAAAACAGGCGTCGTGCCTCCAAAGGCTGGCTGTGTGCTGGCAGGGGCGCCGAAGGCTGAGGCGGTGGTCTTCAAGCCAAAAGCTGACTGTGTTGAGCTGCCAAAGGCAGGCTGGGCCGTCGCCGGTGCTGCAGACGGGGCAGGGGCTGCAGAGTTCCCAAAAGTGAACGAGCTGCCAAAGCTTGGAGCAAGGGCTGGCTTGGAGGACCCCTGCTGCTGCCCATCAGCAGCCCCGAATGTGGGCTGGGGGGTGGCCACTGGATATGCTGGGAGGGAGGGCTTGGCACTGGAGCCAAAGGGAATGCTGAACGCGGGGGTGGTGGTGTTGCTGAAAGTCAGGGTGGGCTGGCTGCTGGTGGTGCAGGCTGAGGTGGCAAGGGAACTGCCAAAGCCACTGAAGCCAGCAGTGCTGTTGCTGCTGCTGCTGCTACTGGTGGTGGCCGCCTCAACAGCACCGGGCAAGGACTGGCCAAAGGTGGTGGCTGCTGTGGACGTTGGTGTGGCAGTGGATTTGCCAAACTGGAATACAGAGCCCACGGCTGGGGTGAAG